CAGCTGCATCACTACCCACTTCAAACCCCTCCGAGCCATACATGAAGCAAACCGACACCCACTATGAAGATGCAGCACGACCACGAACTCGAAGCCAAACAGCAAGATCACAGCTCACCAACTCAAATCCCCCAGCAACTAAGACTAACCTGAGCACAACCAAGCCCCCACCTGAACAGAACACGCCTCCAGCCAATCAGAACACGGCCAACCCCCCAACCAATCAGAACACAGCCAAACCCCCTACCAATGAGAACACCCCCCCACCCAATCAGAACACAGCCAAGCCCCCACCCAATCAAGTCCCACCCCCACTAGCAGTTAAAAGGAAGAAGCAGCTGCAATCTCACATCACTCTGAGAAGCACAGAGCCGAAGACAGAAGCCTGAAGATGATGAATGAGACTTCATCGAAACGTTGCCTAGATACTTCGAATCTTACGCGGGAGAAAACCCGAACAACCAAAGATCCACATATATATATATATATTTGCAAGTCCTTTATATATATTATATTGTATACTGGAATGCTTCCCCCTCCTTAAATGTTGTTTCATAAACTACAAATATTTTAAAATGGAAGAAATGGGAAGAAGGGGAAAAAGGCTTATTCTTTACTTTCTTGCTATCCTTTTCCTGAAAGTGCAGGGTCCACATTTTCAGATCAATAGTGTTTATCCATTGGTTGTGACAGAAATTGGCCCACCGGTTTGTCACCCAAGCCTGATGTCATGGCTAAGGGAGAGGGACTGACCCAAAGTCATCCAACATGCAGGTCTAGAGTTCTCAGTCTCCTAGTTTTTAGCCTGGTGTCTTAACCATTAGATCAAACTGTCTCTCTTATATAGTTGCCTCACTCTTAGGAGTAAAATACTTGTCATATTCACTTAATAAAAAAGAAATCTTTTTAAAAAGATTTTAAATCAAAAGTGACAGAGATTGTTCATGCCCTGTTCTTTTGGGCAAGGTGCTGGTATCTAAGAATATATAACATATAGCTATATTTTAGAACTATTGATAAAGACACAGGATCACAATACATTACAGTGCACCTACATCCAGAACCAATGGGGGCTATTTAGCTAGCATGGAAAGGGGCTTTGTACATCTGCCATAACATAAAGCATCATCAAAGAAAATGTGTTCATAAATATTCATTGGGAAATGAATGCCAAACATCATAATCTTGTGTGATTATTGGAAAATAGCTGTTCTTAACAGTCAGCCAGCAAATGTTAATGCAATGCAGTTATTTCTCATTGGACCAATTTACTTTTTTCTTTTCAAAAATATCTGTATAGCATTAAATCTTGTGATTCTCTCAAGCCTGGGATAGCTTCATCCTGTATAAAAGCGGTAAAAGAACACTCACAACAGTAGCAGAAAAAATGAAAAGAATGACAACATATATACAGTGTTCTGAAGCATGAAATTTGGAAGAATGGCTTAACTAAATTTAATATTTCTGTCCAAAATCCTGAGTTTATATTGATTCAGTGTAATATTAAATACCAGTCTAACAAAAATGATCAGTGTATATTTAGACATGCGTACATATGTAAACAGTTTGGTCTACATCAAAATAACAAAATGAATGTGTGTAACCGGATATGTCTGTTATTCTTTAGGGTGATGGAAATGCCTTACACTTATCAATGCTGTGCCTTTAGAGCCCAGGACAACCATTATAAAATGCAAAATCAATTGAACAAAGCTGAGAATGGCAGTGCTTATGAATTTCAAAGGAAAGATAGCAGCAGTTTCCATACAACTGGTAAGCATTGTAAACATGCATTAAAACATATTTTTAAAAAAGAATTTGCTTAAAAGTAAGCTATCATAATTGATTATCAATTTTTCTAATGTTATCATTTTAATGCCTGAATACAAGATGTCATTAATACAATACAAGATGTCATTAATTCCTATAAATCTATATTTTAATGTTTTATTTTATTCAGGTTGCAAAAAACTTGAGATAATAAAAGATGTACATTTCCCTCAGTGTATATATGGCTTAATAGTAAGAGTTATCTTAAATAGTCTAAATGCCTCATGAAATTCTATAATCCTAAATACCCAATTTTTTAACAACTGGTTCTGTGGGCGTGGCTAGATAGATGTGCCCATGTGACTGGGTGGGTGTGGCTTTCTTTTCTTTTTTGCAGCACCCCCCCCCCCATTTTTTTTGCCTCCTGGGCCTCAGGGAAGCCTCCTGGGGGGTTGTTTTTGCTCCCAGGAAACTTCCCTGGGGTCCAGGAAGGCAAAAAATGGAGTGCAAGGGGGCGCACAGCACTCCTCCCTTGTGTGCCCCTTTTTGCCTTCTGGGCCTCAGGGAAGCCTCCTGGGTAAAGCAGTAAGACAGCGAGGGGCATCCCGGCACAGCTGATCATCAGAACAGCTGATCATCGGGAGGGGGAAAAAGGAAATACCTTAAGGAGTGACTGGGCAGGGGGGTGATGTCGTGCATGCACACGATATCGTGCATGCATGCACACGATGTCATGCGTGCACGTTAAGGAGTGACTGGGCAGGGAGGGGGGGTCAGGTGGGCAGAGAGGTGCAGGCCCAGCCAGGGGCACAATTTGCCAGTTCTCTGAACTGTGCAGAATCATAACAACCAATTCTATAGAACCTGTCCGAACCGGTAGAATCTCACTCTTGTAAATACCTGTTTGATGTTTATAAATTTGATGTTTAATTAAGGTTTAAAAGCTCTCAATTCTCTCTATGGCTACAAATTAAATATTGTTACCAATATTAGTAACTAAATACTGTGATTTTCCTTCCTACAGATGAGCATGATTTTGTGGATTTTTCTCTTGACTTCAGTGAAGATCTGAAAACTCATCATTCAGTTCGATGTTCTCCTTCTCCAGGTAATAATAGAATTATTTGAGCAGAATTGTATTTTATGGGGAAAAACTTCCTGTGAAATGTTATTATACTTTCTAAGGGTTTTTTTTTTTTTGAAGCTATATGAAGTACTTGGGTATGCATCCATAGTAAGGGACATACATTTATTTTTTATTCATTCATTTTTTTAAAAAAATTAATTAGTTCCTCAGTAAGTATTAGTTGTCTAGGCTATATATAAAACAAACCAAAACATAATGACATAAAGCATAAATTAAAATGAATTTAAAAGCCAAATTTTTAAAAAAACTGCACTTAAAATGTATCAAAACAGAAGTTCCAAAGAATTAAATAACTGACAAAAGTAATTTAAAAGTCTTCATATACCATTGAAAACCTACTCCAGTACTGCAACTTTTACTATATGGAAATTTCACTACCAGAGAGTTTCAGTCAGAAGGTCCAAGGTACAGTGCTTGATATTTCAGGACAACTGAATTCCTGGAGAACTATTGCCTAACCTTTTCCTAGTATCTAGTTGAAAGCAGCCTAAAGATAAGATTGGTTTCCCATTAGTACCTTGTAAGGAATAAAATAAAAGCATTGTCTATGGTATTCCTGTTCAAGAAATATTCTCAACAGGAAGGAAATAGCAATTTGTATTCGAGCTAGATGAAAAAGAGATTACTGAAAGTAACTTCAGTTAAGAGTCTCAAAAAATGAGGGGAAAATAAATCTATTGCTATTTCTATAAACCAGCTGTGCTGGATTTAGAATATCAATAAATATCTAAATATCTAATATTCAGTTGGTTTATTTTACTTTTAATTGTAATTTATTTGGTTTTGTTTCATGATATATGATTTTAATATGTAATTCATCCAAAAACTTATGTGGAACATAAAATGGTATAAAATTGCATAAATAAGGCTTGAAACTGTTTAATAGTCAGAGGTGACTCTAGGATGCTTGCAACCAAGAAAAAACATGAGAAAATATTTAAAAATTAAGATAATAAATATTAACAAAATTAACATTAACATTCACAAAAAAGAAGCAAGATGCAAATGGGGAAGAGATAGAATTTTTCTCTCAATCCATTAATCACCACCAGTATGACATGCCCTCATCGGATCCTCAGGTGAATTGGCAGAGCCAGATTTTAAGGCCCCATGGAAGGCGACAGTGTGGTATGTAACCTTGAGCTGAATGATATTCCAGAGGGCAGGAGCCACAGCAGAAAAGATTCTTCTTCCAGATCCCACCAGCCAGAATTCCTTCACTGATGAGGTGTGCAGCATGCTCTTTCTGCCAGTGTCGGCGAGGCAGGTCAATCCCTCTGGAGATGGTTCCTTGGGTAACCTGGATTGATGCCATAAAAGGGCTTCAAAGGAAATGACCAACACCTTGAATTTGATCCAGAAGCAAACTGGCATCCAGTGCATTTTGCACCACAGTGGTGTTACATGGACCACCTTATGGGCCCCAAGAACTATTCACATAGCTGCATACTATACCAGCTGAAGCTTCATAGCCCCATGTAGACAATAGTCCAGACTGCAATAGTCCAGACATGAAATCTGAATCACTGAGGATAGGAATTCACAATTGAGGAAAGGGTGCAACTGGTGCACAACAAGAAGTTGTGCAAAAGCTCTCCTAGACATGACTTCCACCTGCTCATTGAGTAAGAACTGGGAGTCCAAGAAAGCCCCTAAAGTGCACTTAGGGTCTGTCTGGGGCAGTGTTACCCATCCAGAACTACGGATGTTCCAGATCCTGAAACTTCATTCACTTAAAGCTACTCAATTTTACCAGGGTTCTTCAAAAGCTTATTGTCCCCTATACAGTCTCCAGGCACAATGGAAGAGTGGTGATACATTATTGGGTCACCAGGGATGAAGATATGAAGTTAAGTATCATTGGCATATTGATAGGACCTCATCCCATGATAGCAGTTTATTTCACCCAGAAGCTTCATGGAGAGTGGAGTGGAGAAAGTCTGAATTTTGTGCTACACCACAAAGGAGCAGCCTTGGGCTGGACCTCTCACTCCCTATCAATACCATTTGGGACCATACTTGGAGAAAGGGGACAAACCGATGAAAGACTGCATTGCCCAGCCCCAGATCTCACAGCTGACCCCAAGGGATATCAATGATGTTGAAGGCCTCTGACAGGTCAAAGAGAGTAAGGATGGATGCACTGCCTGATCCCTTTCTTATGAAAGATCGACAAATGTGACCAAGTGTGACCAAGTCTATTATCTGTGCAGTCACCACAAAAAGTTATGAAAACTGGACATAGATAAGCTTACCATGACTTTACTTTTTCTTTATTTTTTTGTAGGACCTTTCAAGCCCTGTGATTGCCTCTTTGGTAGTTGGCTGATCAGAGTTGGAGTTTGGACGCTAATATTTTTAGCCTTTATTTGTAATATACTGGTGATTGCAACAATCTTTCAAGTTCCACAGTTCATCTCCTCCATAAAGTTTATAACTGGACAAATAGCTATTGTAAATACTCTCATGGTTGTGTCTAGCAGTGTGCTTGCTAGTGTGGATGCATTAACCTATGGAGACTTTGCTCAATATGGAACTTGGTGGGAAGATGGAATTGTTTGTCATATCATTGGAATTCTTTCTGTCTTTGCTTCAGAGGCTTCTATTTTCTTGCTCACCTTAGCAACTGTTGAGCGTGTGTTTTCTGTGAAGTATAGAACAAAATTTGAACACACTCTAGCTAATATAAAAATAGCCACCATCTTTTGTTTTGTGCTGGCTTTAATAATTGCTGTGATTCCAGTGCTCAGTGACAGTGAATATGGAGGTTCTCCCTTATGCATACCATTACCTTTTGGAAGACTATCAGGTGTGGGTTATACAGTAGCAATGGTCTTAATGAACTCTTTTTGTTTTCTTGTAATGACAGTAGCATACACAAAACTCTACTGTAGTCTGGACAAGGAAGAAATGGATAGTATTTTGGATTGTTCCATGATCAAACACGTAGCCTTATTACTTTTTATTAACTGCATTCTCTATTGTCCTGTGGCCATCTTATCATTTTCATCATTATTAAACCTTCGTTTTATTGGCCCTGAAGTCATCAAACCAATACTTTTAGTGATTGTTCCCCTTCCTGCATGTCTAAACCCACTTCTCTACATACTTTTTAATCCTCATTTCAGGAAGGACCTGAGAAGCTTTCAAAAGCAGTCATTTGGATGGAAAAAAGCAAAAGATGCTAGTTTGGTTTCTGTCAATTCAGAGGATGCAGAGAAACAGTCATGTAATTCAACCCAAGCTCTAGTAACCTTTGCAAGTGCCAGAATATCATATGATGTTGTTCCCAGCAATCCAGTAGGGCCATCAATTCAGTGAAAGCTGTAACCTTTCATCCATCACATTTGTCCCATGCCACTAACTTCATTCAGAGGTAGCGATGAGGTTTACAAAAAAATTAAAAAATAGATGAATGTGCAGGTATTGCTTGTAAAGAGAGAAGCAACCAATTACTCTGATTTTAAGGGAAAGGAAACTGAAATTGTGAAATTTAATACAGATAGTCCTCGACCTACAATCACAATTGAGCCCAAAATTTATGTTGTTAAGTGAAACATTTGTTAACTGAGTTTTGCCCCATTTTACGACCTTTCTTGCCTCAGCTGTTAAATGAATCACTGCAGTTGAAAAGTTAGTAACCTGATTGTCGAGTGAATCTGGATTCCCCATTGATTTTGCTTGGGAGGAGGTTGCAAAAGGGGATCATGTGACCATGGGACACAGCAACAGTCATAAGTATGACCCAGTTGCCAAGCATCTGAATTTTGATCATATGATCATTGGGATGCTACAGAGTTTGTAAGTGTGAAAAATGGTCATAAGCCACTTTTTTTTCAGTATCATAACTTTGAACGGTCACTAAATGAACTGTTGTAAGTTGAGGACTATCTGTACATATCCGATATTATCTGTTTTTTCAAAAGTGCATATGCCAGTTATCTTTTAGAATCCTGAAAAAATGTAAAGGTTGGTAGCATTTATGCAATTAACTCTGAATTTTGCAAAGGGAGAAAGGAGGAGGAGAAAGAGAAGGAAAAGGAGAAATACAAATTCCAAGAAAAGTAAATGAAAGTTCTCTCTTGAGATCTTTTTTGTTGTAATGAAACTTCCACTCAACTATTGAAACTAGACAGGGAATAATGTTTTATTTATGGACCGTTCAACGTTACAACAGCCAGTTGTTTAAAAATACCAGTTTTAGACCAGTCCTTGCTTTTATGACCATTGCAACATCCCACAGTCACAAGATCACCATTCACATGTTTCACAACTCGCTTCTGACAAGCAGAGTTAATGGAGAGTGCAGAAGTAAAATTGCAAGTCATATAAGTCACATAATGTCTTGCTTAATGACCAAATGGGAAATGGTGCCATAAGCCTGTGAGAAATGGCTTCTGACCTTTGCATAACTTGTTGGCATCTGAGATTCAGTTGAGTCTTAGGCTATCTATTAACTTAGTGGACTTGTTCAGATAAGTCATAGGAATGATATGAATAGAATAACTTACATGAAGTTCTCTGCTGTGTCAATTGTATTTAAATCGTGTATTTTGAAACAGTGAAGCATAGAGCTGGAAGTCTATTCTTCCATTTCAAATTAGAGATCATCTGCCAATTCTTGAAAACGTATCTTACTACGTTTATTTAATTTTTCACAGTGGTTTGCTAATATGTAAATTTTTCTCATGACTGTATTTACATTACTATACAAATTTAAGAAGTGAAAGATAAATATCTAAGAAATTAATATTAAAATAAACAGAAGATAACATAAATCAGGATATAGCATATAATATTGTATAAAAGCAAGTTAAATTGCTTAAAAATTCAATTTAGAAATATTAAAATTCAGAGAAGATTTTAAAATACAATGTGTAAATATAGAATTATTTTTCTTATAGTAAAATCATACTCAAATATGAGAATAAGGTATGTAGTTTCATGTTGCTTTAATTACTAGATTTCTATTTCCAGCTCATATCTGTTTAAATTTGTGATCTGTAAATATGTAAATTTCTACTGATTGTAAATACTATTGCTTTTTTCTACTGATGTTTTAAACATGTAATAAAATTTGCAATTACTCTTGAAGAATCATTTAGTACTTTCTCAAATTATTTCGCAGCAATTCCAGAATATTCTTGTAATTTAATTGCAAAATGAAGTTTGTAAGGTTTCTTTTTCCATCAGAAGAAGTAATACAAACTTTCTCTTAGTATAAACATGTGTGATTTCCACCGCCACTATCATCTGCTAGGCAGTGTTGAGATTCAGGATTTAATAACTGTAGGCCAGGGAGATTTCCTGCTGGCAACTGTGCCTGTTATCTTCAGAGGCAAGGTGGTCCATTGGGCAATTGAGCAGGGACTGATTGGCCTATCTTTGTAAGCAGATGACCTGATTTCTGATTGGTCTTTAGCTGAGCTTGTTTCAGTTTAGCATAGGTTATTTATTGGTCTTCACTAATGTTCTGATCAAGTTGACATTACAACATATAAAAAAAAACTTCCTTGAAGACTCTGCCAGCCTGTACACTACACCAGTACATTGTTCACCTCTATGGGGAGAATGTTTTCTATCAACTACGTGTCTGGAATCTCTCAGAAGCAAGAAAATCTAGCTTCTTTGTTCCTTCCACAACAGTTCTAAACTTCCTGAAAATGAAAAGAATTTTCAAGTGTCCACAATCACATTAGCTATACAACTGCTTAGTAGTGCTACCCTTTGGTCTGCATAGCAGGCTACCTTGTGTCTGAAGAGGCAACATTCTCAGGACTCAGTGTATTAATGGATATCTTCAGTGCAGGGGGATTGACTGTGTGTGCATAATTGCATCTTCTAAATGCCTCAGTTTATGTATTTGTATTAGACACTATGCAAGTATGTAATTGTAGTATTCACATGAGATAATATTATTTCTGTTCAGATGTGTATTTCTAGGCACTAGAAGAACAATGAAAATGTAAAAGTTTTCCATTTGGAAAAAGCACAGATACTTATCTGAACCACAAACTGCAGAAGGTCACACTACAGCACACTATCTTTGGGAAAGTGGGATCTAAGTGCAATCATGATACAATTCAATGTCTTTTGTCTACAGTTTTATCTTTTGGCTGCAGTCCTATAGAGCTTGCTGGATGCTGCAGGGGAAGAAGAGTTTTCCTCTGGGGTAAAACCAATGGTGCAACCTTGGGGCTTAGATTCTTAGTTTTCTTAATATCTGTGGAGTGAAAAGTGGCAGTCCATGCTTTTTACCTCTAGAAATCTTATGTTGGAGTACAAAAATGAAGCCTTTCAGAATTTAATTGTTTCCTCCTAGCATCAATAAGACAAGTTTTTTAAAAAGGTAACAAAATAAGCCATGCCTTTTTGAGTGAAAGTTATCTACACCCCTCTGTCAAAAAGGTTAACAGCTTAGAATCTTCAAAATGAATAATGATGTTGCTCACAATCAAATTACAGAATCCACACTGGGAGCACAATAGAACAATTTTGTCAGGTTTGGAATAGCAAGAGAACAAATGGATCAGTAGCTTGATATGAAAAAAAAACATGCCTTTTCTGTTGCATCCTCTTCCTGTGGGGCTGACAGGCCCCCACTCTTTAACCCTCCACACAGCACTCAAGACCTGGCTCTTTCTCCAGATGCTCGGATAGGGTAAGGTCATAATAGAAAGAGAATGTGATGGGTGGCAGCAGGAATGTATGGTTGCAGCACCAGTCACGTCAAATCTTTATTATGGTCATAGACCAGCATAAAGAGGGTAGGTACAGTCAAATTAAATAGAAGCAGAGGTGATATTCAGCAGGTTCTGACCAGTTCTGGAGAACCGGTAGTGGAAATTTTGAGTAGTTCAGAGAAACGGCAAATACCTTTTTTGACTGCCCCTGCCCCCATCTATTCTCTGCCTCCTGAGTCCTAGCTGATCAGCTGCATCTTCTTTTGTTGCCCTGCACAGGAGAATGGAGCTGGAAAGCAGGTTACTGGAGTGGAGAGGTAATGGGATTTTGCAGTAACCTTCTCCTAGGAGTGGGGAGGGAATGGGAATTTTACAGTATCCTTCCCCTGCCACACCCACCAAGCCTTGCCCAGAAAACCAGTAGTAAAAAGTTTTGAATCCCATCACTGAATAGAAGATACATCAGATGGGTAGATATACAAATGTTTTGAATGAACAGATGAAGACTGAGTAAACAAATGAAGAAAATGAATGAATGAATGAATGAATGAATGCCCTTTGGATTCCTGAATTAAAATTAAGTGTCATAAGAGACCCAGTTGGGTGCAAACGTTAAAGATACCAGGCCAACAACTGGGAGATTTTTAAAAAATGTTGCCAAGAGAATTGCATGGGTAAGGCTGACTCAAAGGTACTGGATACATAGAATACACGACAAAAAGTAACTATCACAAGGGTTGCCAAGTTGGTGCTTTAGCAATTGAAAGAGAGACCTTCAGTATTGGGTCAAACATCCAATTTCAGCTGTAGGCAGACCAACTAAATATCCATTCTTGTGGAATCTTAAGGTTTGCAACCTGAGTGCTGATAAATGTTCACATACATCAAACATTGACAAATTTTGAAAAATGCAGAACAAAAATTCCTTTGATTAACTTATAGAAGACCATGAGCAATTCAGTTACTTTCAACTACAAAGATTTCAGGCAGGGAAACATACTAAATCATTTTGCAACTAATTGTGATTAGACCAGAAAATAAAACAATAATGTACAAAAATAGCTAAACAACAAACCACATGCATATAAAAAGAAATTATAGTAGAACTTTCAGTAATGATGGGATGACCAAAACCTATACTTATGACAGCAATATTTTCACTTTTCTATTTTAGATGGATTTTTTTCAAATTAGTGATAATTTGAGAATTCTAGAAGATTTATCACAATTTTATGGATAAATCTGGATGATTATTGTACTTTTCAAGAATTGGGTTTCTTTTTGCACTATTCACTGTTGAATTTAATTATCCTGATAAACTCAAGCCAATAAATTTGCATGCTACTTTATTAGAAATCATATTTGGACAAGAGATAGAAATGTGCTTTATGGTTCTGGATTTTATAGTGCTCAACTCACTCATGAGTTCTATGAAGAGAAAATACTATTTTGCAGAGATTCGGGAATATTCCATCTTCTGAACTACACTGATTTTACAATAGTATGTTAAAGCTTAGGGATCCCTCGTCAAAATGAAAGAATCACTAAGTGAATGGAAGCGGTGAGAGAAAGATTCCTTAACATATATTGCAGGGGTCCCCAACCCCTAGGCCAAGGCCCACTACTGGGCTATGAGGTGTTCAAAACCGGGCTGCCTGAAGCGGTGGGCAAGCATGCACGTGTCCCCCCTTGCACAGGCAGCAGGCAAGCATGTGCACATGCACTCCATTTGCGTGAGTGGCAGGCACACATATATGCCACTTGTGCAAATGGAGCTGTGTGCAGTGCGAGCTTCCCCACCACTCACACAGAACCACCTCTTCTCCTCCCCCCTCCCCACACCAGTC